CCCACATGCCTCTGAGCAACTAAGCCCACATGCCACAACTACTGAGCCTGCGCTCTAGAGCCTGTGTGCTACTACTGAAGCCCGCGCGCCTAGAGCCCATGCTCCGCAACAAGAGAAGCTACCGCAGTGAGAAGGCCCCGCACTGCAACGAAAAGTAGCCCCCGCTCGACACAACTAGAGAAAGCCCGCGCACAGCAACAAAGACCCATCGCGGTGGGGGGGTGGGGGTGTAAAACAAAAGGGTTGACGGTGCTTCACATTCGAGTAGAGGCAAATAGATTTCTGGTTCAAGACAGTAAACCAGGGCTTCCCTGGTGGTGCAGTGGTTGAGAGTCCACCTGCCGATGCAGGGGACACGGGTTCGTGCCCCGGTCCGGGAAGATCCCACATGCCGCGGAGCGGCTGGGCCCGTGAGCCATGGCCGCTGAGCCTGCGCAACGGGAGAGGCCACAACAGTGAGAGGCCCGCGTACCCCCCCCCAAAAAAAGACAGTAAATCAACTACAAATGTTCACCTTTTCCTTTAAGACTACATTAAATTGTCAGTAAATGACTAAGATGATATTTATAATATAAATAGAATTGGGCAGGGAGGAATCTGTGAGGTATTTTTTCAACAAATTTCTAGACTGATTAGAGCAGATGAAAGAAGTACGGTGACCCAGGGCAGAACAGAGGGTGCTGCCACCTGGACCACACCCGGGGGTGCCACTTGCCCGAAACTCTGAAATGCTGTAGACTCTGAAGCAGGAGGTACGACAGAGGGCAAGCGTGAGAAGGGGGCTTGAAAACAGGAAAACTAATCTAAGGTCTGTCTGCACAACAAGCAGTGAACAATCTTGTTTCTCACTGCAGTTAGAATGACCTATAATTAGACAACACACTCCTAGGAAAAACAAACAAGTACAAGGAAGACTCTTTCCTGCAGGTACAGTGTTTCTGTGGATCTGGAAACATTGGCACCTCTGAACAAGTCCTCAGAGACCTCAAAGATAATGATCACAACTTAGAGCATTTGTCAGATGACAAATCCTGGCCACACCCAGAGCTCCAGGGCAACTCTTCTGCTTCCTTCCAATAAGAGATAACCAAGAATTGTCAGATATTTGAATAAAGTCTACTACAGGAAGTCTACTACCAAGATTAACAACCTTGGTAAAAAAACTAAGAAACACAAAGCTTCGATTCAACAGGTTTTTTTTTCCTTATTTATTAAAAAAAATTTTCTGGCTGCACTGTGCGGCATGCAGGATCTTAGTTCCCTGAAGAGGGATCGAACCCGTGCCCCCTGCAGTGGAAGCGCAGAGTCTTAACCACTGGACCACCAGGGAAGTCCTTCTCAATTGGACAGCTTTAACATTTGAGTAAGAGGGAGATCTAGTGAAAGAACAGGGTGGGTAACATCAAAGAAGTTATCTAAGAAGTAATAAGAGAAAGAGCTAAAGGAAAGACACGAATCTTTAAGTCAAAAGGGTCTACATGGGAGTTCCCTGGTGGTCCAGTGGTTAGGATTCAGCGATTTCACTGCTGTGGCCCAGGTTCAATTCCTGGTCAGGGAACTCCCACAAGCCATGCCGCACCCCTCCCCCCCCCAAAAAAAGAGGAAAAAACACGTCATCTATCATGGGAAAAAAATCAAATTTGCATCAGACTTGGCACCACTGCATGTAAGATGAACAGTCAGCAATTGAGCTAAGAATGATTTTTATATTTTTAGAAGGTTGTTAAATAAAAAAAAAAAAAAAGAGGAAGATGTGACAGAGAACTTACTATCTGGCCCTGTTTAAGAAAGCTCCCTAAGTAAGAATTCTAACAAGAAAATGGAAAACATGCATCCAGGAAACTGTGACTCTAACCCAGGAGAGCAATGAAGAGAAATCCCAGGATCCTAAGTTTCCTGAAGATCTCGAAAGCAACATGTTTGTATAACCTTTCGCAGAATGGCGAAAGTTTATAGTACAATAGTCTCTAGGAAAAAAGGAGACTTCATAGACTAAATCAAATGTTAACAGTTTGGAAAAACTTTATTATATGATGAAGGCAACAAATACAAGCAAAAAAGAACATTCAGAAACTCCAGGAAAATCGAAAAGCTGTAGGGAAAATAATGGTCCAAGGAAAAAGTGGTCTAAATGAGATTTGAAAATTGGTGAGCTCAAGAAGAATGGAGTAGATTCCAATTAATAGAGGATATGAGAGAGAGCACAAGAGAACAAATACACACGTGCAAGAGCCAATCAGAAATTCTACAGATGGGCTTCCCTGGTGGTCCAGTGGTTAAGGCTCCACGCTCCCAGTGAAGGGGCATGGGTTTAATCCCCGGTCAGGGAATTAAGATCCCCCAGGCCGCTAGGTGCAGTCAAAAGAAAAAAAAAATTCTATGGAAAAATATTGTGAACAAAAACAAAACCAAGATAAAATACAAACTTCAGGATAGTGGTTTCCTTTTGGGTGAAGCAGAAATGGAATAGGGGAGTCGTAATACATAGATGCAGGTTGTTAGTAATGCTCTAGTTTTTGGGTTAAGTGACAGGTTCAGTTACTCATATTATGGGTCACACATCCTTTTGCATGTATTAAATGTGGAAAAGGAAAAAGATAAAGGAAAAACAATCTAAAAATTGAAAAAAGGCAAGGTCCAGTCACGAAGCAAATTAAAATGTAGATGATCTTAAGAAACTGATGGAATCCAGAAAAAGACAATCTATTTAATCTTGATCATAGTAATATACATTTTTGAAAGGTACAGTATTTATGGTTCTAGAACTGTAGAGAAGGCATATCACTTGGCTCTGTGCAGAAGAATTCTTATAAAATCATATCAGAATACTATTGGTTTTCAGCTTTTAAAGTCAATCAACATGTGAAAAAAAAGGCAATTTTTGGTGGTGGGAAGAATAAAACATTCTGTAAAAAGGAAACAGACAGGGTTTGTACTACTTGGCTCATCCATAAAAATTATTTACTTAGTTGTAATGAGTATTCCTAGCCGCAATTAAGTGTTACAGTAAGTATATTAAGAGGATACAGAGCAAGGATGTGTGAATTTCTGTGTGTGTGTATGGGGGGAATTAAGAGAGTAAATCTATATATCAGGAGGTCCGTAGTTGATAAACACATGAAAATAACAAAGTAAAGAACAGCTCACACAGGCTCTTCCTACTGACACATTAACAAAAGGGGGGACGTGGGTATGGTGCGCACACATATATACACACACGATCTGGAGAGGGACACTTTCTGGAAGAATACAGATAAACTGTTAATAGTATTTGTCTTTAAGGAAGAGACGTAGACAAACTCTATACTATTTTGTTTCATTTGTAGTAACTATGCACAGGTATTATTGAATTAAATAAAAACTTTTTTCCCTTAATAAAAAAAAAGAGCTCCTGTAAATAACCAAGAACACTAACATCAGAGGAGACAAATAAAGAATATTTATACAAAGTTCACAGAAAAGGAAATATTAATACCAAACTCATTTAACAATGTTCAACCTCCCTCAAAGTGAAATGCACGGGGTACTGAAATAATACTTTTCGTTCATCCGACTGGCAAACGTACTCAAAAGTTTGCTAATGCTGTACTGGTGACCATATAGGGTAATAAGCACCCTGAAAAACCAGGTGAAGCGTAAATTGCTATAATCTCTATCAAAAGGGACATAGGAATATTTATTAGAATTATGAAGTTATGTCTCCAGTTATCCAGAATCTCCAGTTATTAGTTTATCTTACAGATACATTCATCTATTTGTGAAATGACTCATGAAGGGTCATTCCAGCACTGCTTGGACTAGCAAAATTTGGAAACAACCTGGCTCCATGTGAAGAGGGTAACTGTAGGTCTGAGGGACAGTGAGAAAAGGGAAGCAGCTTTTCATTGGAAATCCTATTAAATTATTTTTTAACTGTTTGAATGCATACATTAAAGCCTCAGCCAGAGGAACAATCCACTGAGGAGACCAAACCACAAAGGCCTCTGCAGCAGATTCAGTACTGGAAGGCTAGGCTATTATGTTCTAACTATCAGGGAGCAGGGAGAACCACTCCGGGCTACTGCACTGGCTTCCTAACTGGCCTCCCTACTAACTTATTCTCAACACAGCAGCCAGAGATTCTTTTTATTTTTTTAAATTTATTTATTTATTTTAAATCCAAAGATGTGCATTTGGAAGAGATTCACTGACAGTTGTAGCAGAAGTGCCAATTTTTTGGGGGGGCTGCACCTCGAGGATTGTGGGATCTTAGTTCCTCACCCAGGGACCGAACCCAGACCCACAGCAGTGAAAGTGCTGAGTCCTAACCATTGGACCACCAGGGAATTCCCCAGAGATGATGATGATGATTTTTTAAAATATTTATTTATTTATTTTGGCTGCACCAGGTCTTAGTTGCAGCACACAGGATCTTCGTTGAGGCATGCGGACTCTTAGTTGCGGTATGCAGGCTTCTAAGTTGCGGCATGCGGGCTTCTTAGTTGCAGCATGCATGCGGGATCTAGTTCCTCAACCAGAGATCAAACCTGGGCCCCCTGCATTGGGAGTGTGGAGTCTTACCCACCGGACCACCAGCGAAGTCCCAGAGAATCTTTTAAAATGTAAGTCAGATTGTCACTCTTCCATTCAAAACCCTACAATTGCTTCCCATCTCGGAACAAATGACAATCATTACAGTGGACTCCACTATTCCTTCCCTGTCCAGTCTCCACTGACACTCTAACCTCACATTCTACAAGCCTCTCCTCCCTCACTCCACTCCAGCAATACTAGGTTCACTCCTGCTTCAGGGTCTTTGCAGCTAAAATTTCTTCTGCTTGAACATCCAATCAGCTTCTTGAGTCATTTCTCAAATGTCAGCTTCCTAACCTGTTTTAAATTCACGCAGCAATCCACCCTCAAGCCCACACACCCTTTCTTGTCCCCCGCTTCTTGGCTTTTTCTCCATAGAACTTAAGCATCTTTTTTTTGGCCACACTACACAGCTTGCAGGATCCTAGTTCCCCGACCAGGGACTGAACCAGGGCCCCTGCAGTGACAGTGCAGAGTCCTAACCACTAGACCTTCAGGGAATTCCCTTAAGCATCTTAACATACTTTATATAAATTTTACTCATTTCTCTCCTCCCAGAATACAAGCTCCAAGGTTTATTTTGTTCACTGTTGCTTACCCTGCAAATGAACTATATCTCTTCTACATAAGGGCTCAATAAAGATTTGTTGAATAGTTTCCCCTTTTCCACAGAAAATCAGTTAAAACTAAAAACAAAAGACTAGGGGTAGCAAGAGATGATTGATTGTTAGCATGACTGAGGGCTTTCATTATAAGCCTTTGTGAAGCATTTAGATTAAAATACATACATACACATCTCTTACCAAAATAATTAAACGTTTTAAAAATAAAAGAGGTATTAGATATATTGAGAAAGTAGAATTTGGGACTTCCCAGGGGCTTCCAATGCAAGGGACGCAGGTTTGATCCCTGGTCGGGCAACTAAGCCCACGCGCCACAACTACTGAGCCCGCGCGCTCTGGAGCCTGTGTGCTACAACTAGGAAGAAGCCTGCGCGCCACAACGAAAGATCCCACGTGCCACAATTAAGACCTGACGCAGCTAAAAATAAATAAATAAAATAAAAGTTAAAAAAAAAGAGAAAGAATTGATAGAAGTTGGTAACAGGCATGAAGCTGGTGCAGAACTGAAGATAAATGGAGTGTCAAAGGTGATTTCCACATTTCCAGCACAGTCGGGTTAGTAGGTGGTGTTACTACATAACTGGATCAAGAACACTGGAAGAAAAGCAGAGGGAAGATCATCACTTCAGTTTGGGGAACATTACATTTGAGAGGCTACTATAAGACCTTCAAGCACAGGTATCAAGAAGTCAGATCCAGGGACTTCCCTGGCGGTCCAGAGGTTAGGACTCAGCGCTTTCACTGCTGTGGCCCCAGGTTCAATCCCTGGTCGGGGAACTAAGATTCCACAAGCCTTGAGGCTCGGCCAAAGGAAAAGTCAGATCCAGACTCAGAAAAGATCTGTGCTAGATAAGTGAATGTGAGAATAACTCCACGTAGTTAAGGCCAGAGAGAGTATGCAGCTTAAAAAGAGGGGGGTGGTGGTGGTGGAAAGCAAACTTATCTGGCAGGAGAGGTAACAAGATCACGAAGTTGGTTTTCCCAGGGTGAGGCTTTTCCGGATGTGCTGACCCCTGTGATTTCCCCAAATGTGGGAAACTCCACTGCATAATTTGTGGTAGTGTTGTGTGTGGGGAGCAGCGGGGAGAAGGAAAAAAAGCTAAAGTTGAACCCTGAGGAACATTATTATTTCAAAATGGGGTGACTGACGAATTAGAATTGGGCAGACCGAGGATCTGGCAGCCAGGAAGACAAGAGTATTTTGAGAAGGGAGAGGCAGACTGCATGGAATGCTTCTGTAAAACAAGTAAGAGAGGAAAACTCTGAAAGGCTCACTGGAGATCATTAGTGACCTTACCAAGAACTGTTTTAGCGGTGTATGAAGTAGAACAAGTGGGTTAAGAAGTAAAAGGGAGATCAGGCATCTAGATAGTTCAAGAGCTAAGGAGGAACTGGTAGGATGTAGGATTCAAGGATAATTTTCCTAAAAAAAAGTCTAACATAATAAATGCTACATAGTTACAATTATAGGCATACTTCGTTTTATTGTGCTTTGCAGATATTGCATTTTTTACAAATGGGAAGTTCTGTGGCAACCCTGCATCAAGCAAGTCTATCGGCACCATTTTCCCAACAGCATTATTTTAAAATAAAGGTACGTACACTGTTTTGTAGGCATAATGCTATTATTGCACATTTAATAGACAAAAGTACAGTGTAAATCTAACTTTATATATACTAGGAAAGAAAAAAATTCGTGTGACTCACTTTATTGTGACATTTGCTTTACTGGGGTCTCGATCTAAACCCGCAATATCTCCAAGTTACGCCTGTACATATAAATATATGAATACTAACACATTAATATGCTATATAATATGCTAGCATTATAATTAAATGCGAATGGAAAGGATCCTTTATCAAGGAAGAAGTTGAAGACACAAAGAGGTAATTCAGTAACGGAACGGTGGGAATTAAGGAGCCAGAGCACAAGCAGTTTTTTGATACGTGATATTTTCTGTTTTTAAAGGACAGCCAGGAAAAGGCTGCATATGTTAGAGTGTGGTAAGTGCCTGAGGCAGTTTCCATCCAATGTCTTCTAGTTCTCTTTGAAATGGATAGCAGGGCCATTTGCTGACTACAGAGAGGTGATTACAGAAAAGTACTAAGTTTTGCTGGCCATGTTGAGGGCCAGGAGAGAGCAGTAATCAGATTTACAGTGGTACTGATGTATTCAATTGTGATTCTCTTCTGCAGGACACAACCCTCCGAGTGAATACTGATCATGTGGGTGGTTGGATGCTTTCAGGGTTGAAGTTTCTCTAAACAAGAGCACAAAAAGCTCAAAAGAGGTGCAAGGGAGTTTAAGGTTATTTGTAAGATAATGATAGTTCAAGGAGTCTAGGCTGGTTGGAGATGGTGGTAGGGAAAGTAGAAGATGGAAGCTAACGAATCCAAAGTAGAAAGATTCCCGACCTGGGGGTCTGCACCAAGCTAAAAGCAGTTACTGAGCAAAGGAGTGGTTAGGTCACTCTATGTGTGTATGTACTTATTTATTATTTCTTGAGCAAGCCAGTTGGAAGATCAAAGCGTAGGGTGTCTAAATCCATGATTCAGAGATGATGCAGTTGAGGTTGATAGACAAGGTCCGGGTGTGTCTACAGGTTTGGGTGGGAGGAGGTGAGAAGAAAAGGTCACAGGGAAAGGAACAGGGGCCAGGGTGTAGGATGGGTCCAGGAAAGTTAACACAGCAGGCCTGACTCCTATCCTTTATAAAGACTGCTTACAAGTTTGGCCCTTGGCTGACATCTGGAAACGAGGACTTGAGGAGGGTTTCCATCATTCCCAGAACTGATAAGAGTGGCTCACTGTGCCTAAACTGTACAGTCAATGATGTGTATTTGTGCTTTACTTCTGGGAGTCTGGGATTTTAGTATGTGCCACACAGAAGAAGCCTAAATAACCAGACCCCAATCAAAACCCTGGGCCCTCAGCCGCTGATGAGCTTCCCTGGTAGACAACATTCCACACATGTTGGAACAATTCTTTGCTGGGGGAACGAAGTACATACTCTGTGACACCACTTTCAAAGTCCCCTCTGAAAGTCTGAGCCTGGTTCACTCTAGACTTCGCCCATACACCCTTTCCTTTGCTCAATTTTGCTTTGCATCTTTGTGCTGTAAGAATCATCACCATCAGTGTGATTATCTTGGGGACTCCCAACACAGATGGGTAAGCCACACAGATGACGTCATATGGAAGGATGGAGGTATAGAGGAAGAGAAAGGCAGGAATAATTTTTTTAAGATGGGAGTAATCAGGTAACCAGGAGAGTGAGAGGATCGCATAAGCCTGAATGGAGTAAGTAGGGGTTTTACCAGAAAGGGAGGGAGCAAGGACACCAAGTCTACATCCTGAACATAGTTTGCAGGGCAAGAAATACTCCAGTGCTGCCACTGGGAAGGGTGGTAGGTGGAGCAGCGTCCTTCGGGAAAAGGCTAGGCCCACAGAGGAGGATTAACCCTGCATCTGCTCTAATATACATACCTATGTCTACATCTACAGCACATCATGGTTTGCTAGTACTTTTTTCTTAGTTACAAATTCCTTGCAGCAGCACACTAGTGTGGAACAGCTCCATAGCTGGGCACTACTATCTTTCACAATATTCAAAGTCCGCGTTCCTCTTACCCACTCTAACTTCAGCTTCTCTTGTGGAGGAAAAAACTGTGCCAGCATTTTTTTACCAGCCCAAAGCTAGAAATGATGCAAATGCAGTATCAACAGCAGAATGGATAAATCATGGTCTGTTAACACAATGGAATACTATACTGCAACGAAAACGAACGGTCCGCAGCCAAATGCAACAATATGGATGAATCTCACAAACACAATGTTGAGCAAAGAAGCTAAGCACAAAAGCATATATGCTGTTTAATTCCATTTATGTAAAGAACAAACACAAGCAAAAGCAATCTAAGCTGTTAGAAGTCAGGATAGTGGTTACCCTTGAGGCTGTGGGGGCTACCGGACGGGAGTTGTTTTTTTTTTTTGCGGTACGCGGGCCTCTCACTGTTGTGGCCTCTCCCGTTGCGGAGCACAGGCTCCGGACGCACAGGCTCAGCGGCTATGGCTCACGGGCCCAGCCGCTCTGCGGCATGTGGGATCCTCCCGGACCGGGGCACGAACCCGTGTCCCCTGCATCGGCAGGCGGACTCTCAACCACTGCGCCACCAGTGAAGCCCCTGGAAGGGAGTTTTACGGGGGCTTCTGGGTACTGTTTACATAAGTAATCATGATATGTGTGCTTTTCTGTGTGCATAATCATACTTTAAAACAAAGCAGTGCTACTCAATACACGAAGTGAAAAAAGCAAGTTTCACAATAGTACGTATACTATGAATCTATTTTTGCTGAAAAGCACATGCCGGTACAGAACAATGCCAGGTTGAATATATAGCCAAATAGTGTTACCAATGGTTAGCCCTGAATGGTAGGATGGTAGATTTTCTTTCTTCTTTATCTATTTTTAAAAACCATCTTCCATACTGCCCATATCCTTTTTACAGTGTATTACTTATACAAAAACGAAACTATACCTCATTCCTCTGTAAACTGAAATCTGCAAAGCTCCAGAACCCATTCTGGGACAAAAGAAATGCTATTAAACACTGGGGAATGGAGTAAGGGATAACTGTCACCCAACTAACCCATTAAAAGAAATTTACAAAACAATTTCAGCACAAGCAAAATCCTGAACTGCAATGTTGGGATTTGCATTCTCATCAACAATCCTGTGTGAGGCCAGCACCCGAGGATTATAAGGATTAAGTGAGTAACAGGATAACAGAAGCACACTCCAGACATCTAGTAAACACGTTCCCGTTCTCTGTGCTGGGATGACTGTAAACCATTCACTGGAATTCATTACAATCTCGCCTTGGCCCAGGCTTCTCACACTTCCTCAAACTGGCATTCTTGGCTCTCTGCTCTTCCACTCCCAGGCTGCTCTTCAAGTTTAGAGGCAAAGGCAAGACTTTCTGGGCCACGAGCTCCTTGCTGGCCGCTCTCAGTTGTTTCTGTGCACCTAAACTATGAGTCACTCTATGAAAGCCTTATTATTAAACTGAAATATGCTTTGGCCTCACAGAGCTGCTTTGTTTCTTTATAAACCACAATACAGACACCAGTGCATTTTAAAGCATTTCCCTAAAAATCAACATTCATTATGAACTAGAATCAGATTCAGGTTGATTTTGATATGTTTATGAGCTAAACGTGAAAACACTTTTATCAGTCAGCCAAGTCTGTTAAAATACGAACCGAACTGGAATTTAAAAAACACCCATATAACGGGCACAGCTTGGCACCATCACTGAGAACAGAAACCACATTAGATTCATAGTCTCATCATGTGCTCTTGGAGCCAGATTTCAAACTGTCTCAAAAGCCACAAGCTCGATTTTACTAACCGTGGCTTTGAAAAACAGGATAAAAACGTCTGCGTCACTCCTCCTCAGGAGGTTGGTTTGACCCCCACAACAGCAGGGCCTGGGACCTGCATCTTCAGCTTCCCAGTGTATACACTAGCTGGCCGACAGACTGCTGCTGGCCTCCAGGTCTCTGCTGCTCAAAGCTACACTCTCCCTTACTTCCCTCACCTGACTAGCTCCTATGCCAAGAAGTTGTCCCAGTATCTCTATACTGGGAGAAGCGAAGGCAGGCTGCTCTGAGCAAATCCCCATTAAGCACACCCAGATTCAGAGATTAACGGTGCTACTTTACTTCCTTAAGTTTGATTCCGATTGTACTCACACTTGTCATCTTTTAAAATCACAGTCAAAGGAGGTAAACTAAGCAAACTGGTTGACATCTGAGCTCCTCTAAGAGCTCACTCGCCTTCATTACTTTATTCTGTGACACTCTCCCCACTGTCACTACTTAAACCAGCTTTTAGTCTCTGAACTAATAGGGCAGGGGGATCCTGTAACAAAGAATCCAGACACGATCAGATGTGAGCTATTACCACAGGGCTGTGCAGAAAGAGCAGCTTTTCTTTCAGACTGACAACCCATGGAGACAGGGACAAAAACTATGTAAAACTGAGACACAGAAACAACACACACTCATTTGCTATATGCTAGGAACGGAGCCTCGGTACTCAAAGCAGCCAAACCCTAGAGGAAGCAAGTCTCAATTTTCCTGTTTCCCCTTAGATTCTATCCTGCAGAAATGCACCCCTGCTCCATTTAGTTCTTTCCCACTCTTCATGCTGGAGTCACAACTTAGATATACTGAATTTGGGAGGACAGAGAAATGATAAAATAGTTCTACATGGAAACATCACCAAGGCCCTTACAAGGAGGGGGGCTAGATTAGATGAGTCAGCTGTGATGTTTTAAAATTGGCTTTCTAAACCTGGCTGATCAGAACTACCTGTGGGACTTAGGCAGATTCCCAGGTTTCACTGCAGAACTTCAGAATCAGACTCTCCAAGTGTGGGGCATGGGAATTTGTACTTTAAAAAATGCTCCTCAGGTGCTTCTGGTATGAGATTTATGAACTACTGACAGAGAACAGGATGAAATGGTAATTCCTATGTGATGATAAATGAGTTTCCAAAATGTTGACAGTACTCCTGCAAGTAAGGTCCTTTTCCTTTCATATACCATGTAAAGATTCTTTAGTAAAGTTTTATTAAAAATTTTTGGGGAAAAATTAATTCCCCACTCATTGTCTTTCCATGTAGAGGGACTTTAGTCAGTATTTCTCAAAGTGGAAGGGTCACTGCTGCACTTGGGCTACATAATCAATTATGGCGCTGTCTAGCATAGCACAGAACATTTACCATCCTGGCCCTTACTCTTAAATGCCAGTGGTGGTCCCCGAGTCATTGTGATAACCAAAACACCTGCTTTCTCATTCCTAAATGCTCCCTGGACGGCAGTTCACCCCTGATTAAGATCCATTGAGCTGAATTAACATTCCTGACCACTCTCCCTACCCCTCACATTAAGTCGTGCTTTTGGAAGGAGAAATGGTCTATCCAAAGACAAGTTTCAGCGGAATCAGCCCTTCCCTTTTTTGCCTTCTGCATGTGCTTGCCCACAGAGGGTGCATTCTAGCCTAAGGTTTCCAGCTTGGCCTGTGCCTGGTTGGCTTAGTCTCCTCATGTCATGGATTGTAACTCAGGAGCTGTCTGTACTCTAGGAGGGGGAGAAAGGGCTTCCAGCTTTAAACACAACACTGTATAAATCCTAGGAAAACAAATTAATTTAGCTATTTTAGGGAATATAAACATGGCCATAATTCCATTGTTACATGTTAAAGATGCCCTTCACTATACTTCTTTCTACTGTAAGAAAATATTAGTGTTTAAGGAGAAAGAACTTTGACGAACATTTTTTATTGAACAGTTTTATTCTGTCTTAGAATTAAAAACCTTTTTAATATTGTAAGGTGCACTGCAGGTATGTCACGCTGCCGGTTATTACTGGGGTACCAAATGCCCTAGTCAATGACGCAGAGGGCTTGGAAAATGCATGAATTCATACTTTCAGAGCGTGTAGAACTGGTATTTACAGGTTTTTTTTGTTTTTTTTTTTTCGAATCAGCCCAGGACATCTCTAATAGTCTACACAGGTATTGCCATAGCACTTGCTTTGATGTTCAGAATGCCTCAGAAATGTGTTCAATGCCATGATTTATGGGTCCTCCAAAAGATTTTGTTGTTAACATGCGAGCAAACAGTATTAAACAATATTATCTAAACTATGGCTGCCAAGTACTGGACCTTAATAATGAAACCAAATTACAAAACATTTTCTTGTAGAGCTACACAAAAGATATAAAATTAAAATTATCAACCACCTTTATATACTCCAATTCTCCTACAGTGCAATTTTCCATATCTTTATCACTACTGAATATTTTAAGGAGAAAGTTAACAAAAATCAAAATAGATAAAAATATTTAATCTTTGGATCCCTTTATTCCACGGCCTTCATAAAAACACAAAGTGGCCAGATTTTTTTTCCACTATAGCTTAAAATATCAAAAAGATTTACTAATAATTTTAGCAATTAACTCTATACTGAGTCATTTGTGGGTCACAGGCCTAAGGACCAGTGTTATGATATCTTATAGGTTGCCAAAATAATTTCTAACACTCTGAATCATCTTGAAATATAATGGAAAGAGTCAAGGTATCACAACAAAACTCCAGGCATATCAGGAAGAACAGGTTAATTGACACCTAGTTTTATTGTCTTAAAAAAGGGGGGGTTACTTATTTGAAAATACAGCTAAGTACATTCTTATCTATGATTATTTACATTTGTATACTGAAAATATCTATTATGTGGATAAATCCTGTGATATGCCATCTGCTACAAAATAAAGTTCTTACAATGAGCATAAGTAATTTACCCTTTTTAGATAATGAAAGAATGTATCAAATCTTCATTTACGTTCCAAACATTTAAAAAAAAAATCAAAATCAACAATCTTAAGCCTGAAAAGCTATGAAAAAAAGACCCACCCATCCTTCTGCTCCTCAGCACATCAACTTCTGCAAGGACACAGTATGTTTGCTGACTTTAAAATGTTTATTCTTTAAAAAATTAGTTGCTTTTTATACAGCTATACAAAGTTCTTAATGTTTCTTTGGCAATGGAATATAATGGAATTTTACAACTATATAAAAAAGTTACCTTTGCCTAAGAAACAGTATTTACTGTGTGTACATAGTTGACTGACAAAATTCTCTACCATCCAGCACCCTAATTAATTGACGAAATAAGCTACCTCAGAAGGGTTATTACAGGATTTCCAAAAAAAGAAAGAAAGAAAGAAAGAAAGAAAAAGAAAGATATAGACAGACACACAGACACATAGACACACAGACCCTTCCTTCTGTGGCTCAAAACAGTAACACGGCCCTATCTGCAGGCAACTCACAATAATTGCCAGATACAATTTAGTGATAAGAAAAATCCTTTCAGTGATGAAAAAATACTTATAAGTTCCACTGGAGTACTGCTTTAGTTTAACTATACATAAGAAATTACTTAACCTTCTGCTATTCCAAATATATTTAATGCTCATTTATTAAGATGAGCCTTCCCTCCCACCCCCAAAATTAACTGTATTGTATCTTTGAAATTAAGCAGAAAAACAAACAAACAAACAAACAAAAACCCAGTGCTGGTGACAAATATACAGCAAATTCACTTTTTCATTCTTCTCAAAGACTGAGACCAATTCTCAGGACCACGAAGAGCTAAAAATCCATCTATTTTCAAAGACTTGTTTGCAGACTATGCAGCAACTTTGTTGTCTTTCTAAAAAGGAAAAAAAAAATTAGCTCATGTTTCAAACTATTGGGGTTTATTAATAAGTATTTCTTTTAAATTTGCTTTATTTTAAGTATATTTTTCATAACCTTTAAATATATCCTCCTCTTACTTTCATGTATAAACTCATTTCACTGATTTCCAGGAAACACTTTTTATAACTTACATACCCAGCAGTAGCTCATTATTTGTTAAGTGTATTTTCCCGTTAGTAGAGGTTAAAGCAGTGGTGCTGTGGGCTTGTCCTAGCAAGAAGGCCCCCTGCTAAGATATAGGCACACCCTACTACCTTTGGTGCTGTCCTAATAATTTAAAAAAAAATTAAGCCTTCATCATAGTAGTCAAACTCATCAAATACAACTGACAACATTTTTTGGAAGAAGATAAATAAAATTCCCGAGTCTTTGATATCTTTACTATGCAATAAAACATCCAGGTGGTAAAATAACATTTCTCTTCTCCACAGTTTCATGTCAGGAGAAAGCAATGATTTGGAAATTCATTTTAAAAGGACAACTTTTAAATCTGAAATAAGTTCTGAAAATCAGAGCGCTGCCTGGGAAATGTTTTTAAAAGCAACCAGGGAGAAAGCAATTAAAATCTCAAGGAGCCTCTAGCTTTCCAGTGAGATTAATCCTAAACCAAATGCCTGTACACAGAGCCAAGGGCTTCTCTTTTCCTCAGGACTAGTTGCTACCAACTAGCTGCTACTAGTTGCTACCTGATTTTTACTGCTGATTCTCACCCTGACTGTTAGAAATACACACTGCCTATGTTAAAAACTTAATTTTATCTGTGTATACAACACCAAACCATTTGTACGTTATTAAATTAGAATACAAACGGCATGGTGTAAGTTGATACAGAAAGAAATAAGCTGAAGATGATCCTGATGTCTGTCCCCCACCGATGCCAACCTTCACATGCCCTGTGTTTTTTTTTACCTTTCAGAAAGCTGTATGATCAATCCAGACCTTTTAGGGTTCAAAAGCTGTGATTTTCTGAAAGGTAAAAAAAGAAAGCGAGATAGAAAGGGAAAGAGGGAGGGAAAGGGGAGAAGGAAACAGAGAAGTAGCAGGAAGGAAAGGAGAAAATAAAAGGGGAAAGGGAGAGAGTACCATGCTGAGTCATTTCAGATACCTTGTTGTCTCTGGACCCTCTCTGAAGAAACACAGACTCAAATGAAAGGCAACCTGTCTCACCCACCATGGCAGCTTAACCTCCTTAGCAGCAGCGTATAAAATAGGAGTGGGCCACTCTCTCATTAGCCCCAGCCTGATCTCCCAGCCCCCAAAAAAGAAAGAAAAGAAAAAGCACCATAGGACCAAACTCACAAGTTTATGTTTCTAACATTATCCTAAGGAAAACTCAGAAGCCGAAGAGTAAATTTTGGCTAAGCTTATACCTAGATCAAGAGAGTTAACTCCTCTGGGTCCTTGGTTTCCTAACTATCTATTGCAGTAGGGTGGGAGAGAAGTTCTAGTTTGACTGATATTTCTAAGGAGTTCTAAAAAAAAATATATGATCCTATCACCCATGTTTTCATTAAACAACCAGATCTGCTCATAATGTTCATGTCAGTGGAGCATAAAGAACAAAGCTAACCCATTACATGAAGGCTGCTGCAAATGCCACTGTACTTCATCTCTGAGAAGTATTAGATGCTTCAGAAACAAGTATAATCTTAGAAGGTAAATTTCCTTTATGCAATAGTGGTCAATCACTACTTCCACCTTTAAAGGTGCCAGATGCTATGATTTAGAAGGAACAGGCTGCTGAGAAGGTCCGGGATCTAGTGGCAGACAGAAGGATCACTCAACTTTGGAATGGACAAGCAATGGCTAGCCACACTGATGGACCTTCAGCCTCACTGAAGTAACTTATTCCTAATCAACATGCTAAGTACTTACTTCAAGCCCACTATGGCTCCATGCTGAGATAGGTGTTCTGGTGGAAAGAAAAGTAAAATACCTATTCACTAACGCCAAGAGGCTCCCATCTAGTTGGCGATGCAGAACAAAACAAAACACATGAAATAGGGAATATAAGTATACGTAAAATGTGTGGTGATGAAAGCAGATACCACAGGAGGTCAGAAAAGGAAGAAATCAGTGGAGGAAGGAAGAGAAGTTTCTAAGGATAGAGCAAACCTTAGGCAAGACTGAAAGGAAGCCCCTGTCTTTCAGCTGGGTCTGTCTTCGCACTGGACCATAAACATCAAGAAGGCTGGGACTGCATGTGTTTTGTTACCACCAATGTCCAGCATAGAGCTTGGCACATGCGAAGAATTCAATATATTTGGTCAATGAATGAAGTCAGAGTTGGAATCAAGCAGTGTGTATAAGAGATGACCATGAGTCAACTGCTTGAATCGGACAGGTTAAAGGGTAATAATAAATGGGGCTGGATATATCCAGTGGGACCCTTACAGAGTAAAACGAGCAGGCAGTGCAACGTCACATTAGAACCTTCTAGCCATCAGCCTGAGGTCTAGTGAATCTATCACTCCTTGAAACACCCAAGCAGAGGTTGAACTATCTGTCAGGGATACATTAGTGCGGATAAAGACTCATGCAGACAACCTCTGCAATGCATTCTAATTCTACAATATATATGATAGGAGTTTTAACTAAAGGCTCAAAATGGCTGAACAGTGAGACACAGCCTCAAAACGCATTAATAAGTGCATATTCTATGCACACAGTGGTTACTCAAAGGTTTACTGATGACTGCTCAGATAAAGGGGATTAATGATCCAGTCTTACACAACATGACAGCTAATTTTTTCAAATATATGAAAAATCATTATGAAGAAGAGTATATATTCTGTGTATAGACAAGGATAGAGTTAAACTAATAAGTTTAGAAGGTAGAGGGAAAAAGATTTTTTCAAATTATGTGTGTGTCTGTGAAATCCTAATAATTAGAGCACCCTTGGGGTGGGATGGATGCTCTTAGAAAGTGTAATAAGTTCCCAGCCCTCATAAAGGATACCAACAGAAGAGGATTTTGGTTTGGCCAGGAGGTCACAACTCTCAGATGCTTTCCAACTCTGAGACTTTAATGGTGTGTCTGAAATAAAACTGTGCAAAACTGAGGGCCAGAAAGGTTTAACAACTCAACTGAGGTCATACTAGCAAAAATTACTAAAATTCTCATCAGGATCAAGGTCTAATTTAAACGTACTTTTTCTCAAACCAAGCTGACTCAATGTGGTCTTCAACAGGAGTTGCCACACGTTCTTCAACAGGTAGCTGATATGCCTGAAGTGAGGTAAAGAGAAACTGAAGGTCTAAACACCAATCAGTGGGTTATTATGGTAGTTGGCAGAAACGCCTCAAAGGAATGAACGTGGTGATGTGGAAATGGCCCATGATCATGGATACCTCCACAGCCTGGGAGACAAAAGAATACCAAACTGAGATGATGGGAAAGTGAGAAGATGATGAGGACATTCTGAGGAAGGTTAAGTTTAAGTTGATCACAGGACACAATGCAAGTAAATATAGAAAAATGTAAGTGAAAGCATACAAGGTCCAAGTTGAAAAACTGATTAGAAGCTATGAATAGACAAGCTCAGAAAGGGGAGGGGGAAAATGCTGCAGGAGAGGAGAGAGGGAAAGCTTGAGCCTATGCTAGAGTGCAAACATGAACACAATGGAGCAAACTGAACATTGCAGGCAGAAGGAATGGGTAAAAAGGTCGTGAGATAGGAATAAGCTTGGCACTAAACAAGAGCAAGAAGACCCACATATGTGTAGCACAATGAATGAAGAAAAGGGCAGTTCCACTGGCAACAAGATCTAGAGCAAGTACTAGACCTCTCATCTGGAGAAACAAGCAGATCATGAAGCACCTTATAGGCTGTGTTAAGGAACATACGTTATTTTTATAAAGAGAAAAATATCAAAAGTGTTAAAAAAACAAAAAGCAGGAAGAAAGACTCCACTTTGGGTAGGCAGTTATCAGTGTCAAATATTGCAGAGTAGTTAAGGTCAAATATTTGTGAAAAGGCTACTGAATTCTATAAGCAAAGGTCACTGGCAACCTCAAGAGGAGTAATAGTGGCAAGGAAGAGGAGTTCTGTAGTTCCTAAGACACAGTCCCCTAGCTGGAATGGCCATTTTGCAAGTTAGAAGTGCTGAAGCTACATCAGGCTGCATCTACTGTGGCTGGGTATCCTGAGCTAACGACTTGAGGCTAATTTTCAGCAGCCTTGGCTGTGATGACACAATATTAAAGGCATCAAAATTAACAGAACAGATCCAAAAGCCACTAACAATGACCCTTCAAGAGGGATCTCAACAATGACCAGTTTTAAATACTGAATAATGAAATTCCTGCTAGTAGATCTTTTTGTTTCTTTTCCTTTTCTTTTTTTTTTTTTTAATTTATTTTTGGCTGCTTTGGGTCTTTGTTGCTGTGCGCAGGCTTTCTCTAGTTGCAGCGAGCGGGGTCTATTCTTTATTGCAGTGCATGGGTTTCTCACTGCGGTGGCTTCTCTTGCTGCAGAGCAGGGCTCTAGGGTGTGCGGGCTTCAGTAGTTGTGGTATGCAGGCTCAGTAGTTGTGGCGCACGGGCTTAGTTGCTCCACAGCATGTGGGATCTTCCCAGACCAGGGCTCGAACCCATGTCCCCTGCGCTGGCAGGCGGATTCTTAACCACTGCGCCACCAGGGAAGTCCCGGTCTTTTTGTCTCTAGCTGCCCTATGTAATTCCTAGTAGACTTCTTTATGATAGGACTTTGATCGTTTCTTTGATTATATACTTTCCTCTCCACTATCCCTAAAATCGATGACTAGGATAGTAACACTGACTTAAAGACCCCTTTAAATATGTTCTTCCTAGATTCTCTTGGTATTGAAGCATACTTTGTAATATGAAATAAAGGTGATACAATATGGCTCTTTTCTGTACCGTATAATATCTTTTAGTGATCCCCTGTGCCTCCAACAACAACAACAAAATTTTTTTAAGGAAAAGAAATTAATCCTAAGTCAGTCTCTTAACAGGTTTTTGGAAGAAATTTTACCAGTCCATTAAATCTGAAACCATGGTTTTATAACAGAAAGATAAAAAAGAATATCACATTTCTATCTCTTTACTTCCTCCAACTGAAAAGAAAATAGTTAAAAAAGAATTAGATTCATTAACCAAGAAGTTACTGCTCCTTAAAATTATATAAATATCCTAATCAGGTACATCCTCCACTGAAAAGTCAAGTGGAAGTTATACAAATGCCCTAAAAATATTCACCTCTAATAGATAAGAGTTTAAAACATTTTGAATTTCATACAACTGCAAGCCAACCCCAAAGCACATAATAATACTTACCCTATATTCGAAATCTGCAAACTCCCTGCCCCCACGACCTCCTCTGAATCCACCACGAAATCCTCGAGGAGTGGCAAAGTTACCACCTCGGCCGCTACCACGTCCTCGGCCACCACGGAAACCAAGACCTCCCCTGCCTCTGTACCCTCCACGGCCACGGTTTGGACGAAGTGGGATTCCAAATGTTTCTGCATTTAATCTTCTTTCTTCAGCCCAGGTTGGTCTCCGTTCTCTATTATGAGAACAAATAATCTTTAGTGTATCAAGTTTTAAAGAACATTTTCCAGCAAAACTATGTAGCACTGATTTCCAAATTAAGGCTAAGTAATTCCTAAGAATCAAATAAAAATAAGCACCTTATCTAAGTCATCACAAGCTGTCCATGGCAATATGTTCCTATAATTCATGTGAAAATATGACTGGTATTAAGCTTCTTGCAAATGCAGTTGATAATACAAAGAAACGGACAACAGCCCCAATAAATGGGATTGGCAATTGACTCTACCCTCCAATCAGCCCCAAAGGAAGAAAGGGCAAAGCCAGGAAAGGAAACCCTGTCTCAGGATGTGAAGAGATGGAGGATAGATCCCTGAGTTCCTAGTATGCTCCTGGCCCAACCTCTGAACCTGACGCCTGAAGCGTCTGAATTGCTGCTGCTGGCCCACAGCCCAGATAATCAGAGGATTCAGAATCATCCCCATCCACGTTTAAAGTGAAGTAGAAAACTGCCACCAGGTGGCACCAAACTGCAGCCAGGAGGACGATTAGGATCAGGCAGCAGAAACCCTGGAACTCTTAGTTTGTTATGTTGGATCCTTTAATTAACCAGTTTTCTGGATCTACATTTACTGCAATATAGCAGAGCTTTACTGTATCAGCAAACTTCATCTGAACTACATTGTAGAGGGGTAAAGTAAAAGGTGTTTAGGTGTTAGATGAATGCCTCTATTTTTATTTACTAATTTTCAAATGTGAATGCATCCCCAAACAAAAGTATATGATTATTTTTCTCAAAGAGTAATATCATTTAAAATTTTAGTATAAATTATTTTCTTTTAGCAAAATAAATCATTAAACAATTGTAGTCATTAGATTTTTTTTTTTTTGGCCACACAATGCAGCATACGGGATCTTGGTTCCCCGACCAGGGATTGAACCCGTGGCCCCCCCACCCAGGGATTGAACCCGTGCATTGGAAGTGCGGATTTTTAACCACTGGACTGCCAGGGCAGTCCCTAGATATTTTTAAGTATTCATTAAACTTTGTGAATTTATAAGAATTCATTTCACACTTCAACCTCCTAAGAGCATAAGAGCAGCTTAAAAGACTGTACCTGTTATCATCACAAGAAATATTATCAAAGAAAGATTTAGTTTTGTCATAATAGCAGTTAGGTCCAAGTGGATCTTCTTCATCTGCATTTCCTTCACTGTTTTGGGTGTCAACTCCTGAGTCTCCTTTATCTTCACCATTTACAGGCTTCTCCTGTTTCTCAAGTTTATCTTCTAATGAAAAACAAAAGCACATACCATAAAAGTCAAGACTTGTACTAAACATCCATAATTCACAAGTCAAATAAGAGTATTTTTTGAATAGAAAAATAAAAACTCACCTTTCAATTTAAGTTTATTATGAAACTCTCTGTCGATTTCCTCCTTGTTAAATTGTGCATTTGCACTTTCAAAGTCAAAGTCTTTCTCAAATTTCATTGGACCATCTCGTCGAATACCAAATCTTCCCCTGCCACCTCGATGACCCCCACGCCCTCTCCTTGGAGCTGAAGGAGCACCTGGAACTACATTAATAAAGAAAGAACAAGCTGGTTTAGAGCAGAAGCTATTATTGTGGTCTTTATGGTCAACAAGAGAAATGCTTACAAGTCTCTATGCACATGACGATATTTGTATTTTTTAATATAAAAAAGATGAAGTTTCACAAACATTTAATATATAATAGACTGAGAAGAGCACATATAAAATTTATAAACATGAAATTTATAAATGGCACACATGAAATTTATATCTATGGGGTTTACACTCATACATGCTACTGATACAGTATACAACCAAACAATTTGGGAGACTTCTGTACTAAATTACTTTGTTTTTCTTATATCCCTAATACCTACAAAATGTCAAATATATATTGGGTTCTCAAAATTCATGAAGACTTTTATGGAAAGGATCACAGAAATCAAGATTTATAGTGAGAAAAATAGATGAACATTTAGCAGCACAAATTGCAAGATAACACAAAAGACAATAAGTACATGGTCTCGGACTTCCCTGGTGGCGCAGTGGTTAAGAATCTGCCTGCCAATGCAGGGGACACGGGTTCTATCCCTGGTCCGGGAAGATCCCACATGCCGCGGAGAACCAAGCCTGTGAGCCACAACTACTGAGCCTGTGCTCTAGAGCCAACGAGCCACAACTACTGAGCCCGTGTGCCACAACTACTGAAGCCCACGCGCCTCGAGCCCGTGCTCCACAACAAGAGAAGCCACTGCAATAAGAAACCCGTGAACAGCAATGAAGAGCAGCCCCCGCTCACTGCAACTAGAGAAAGCCTGCGTGCAGCAATGAAGACCCAACGCAGCCAAAAATAAATAAATAAATTTATATTTTTTTTAAAAAAGAAAAGACGTACATGGTCTCAACCACTCCAACCACTTCCTGCTTCACCTTTACTGTCTCCCTCTAAATGGCTCCATATTTTTCAAGTCTTCCTGTATCTATTTTTCTCTACAATTTAATACAATCACAAGATTTATGAGGTATGATAAAGCAATACCAAAGTAGCATAAATTATAGTGAAAACTTGAGAACCCAAATATCCAACACAAGAGGAACAGTTAAGAAGAAAAAAATTAAAGAGAAACATGGAATAGTATTTGATGTCGGTTAACAGAAAAATATAGAGCACAAAGCACTATGAATTCAATGATTATAATTATGTGAAATGTTTAACACATACTGATAAAGATCAGAAGTGACTACAGAGTAATAGACAGGTTTGTGCTCACTGTTCACTAAAATTTGGCAAATTGTCTAAGTTTGAGAAAACAAACCTCAAAAACCCACAGCAGTATATCCAGACACTTAAATCTAGACAAGCAGGATGTTTAAATATTCAGCTCTACTACTGAAAATGTCTTGGCCAAAAGCCAGAAATTAGAGCACAGTATTTCTGTCTTAAATTTTGAAGGGCAGTGAGAGATATTTTATTTATTGCTTTACATGATTTATATTTTATTTTTTAAATTGAAGTATAGTTGATTTACAATGTTGTATTAGTTTCTGGTATACAGCAAAGTGATTCAGATAGACACACACACACACATATATACACATATTCTTTTTATATTAAACTATGCAGTGCTTCACGAATTTGCATGTTATCCTTGTGCAGGAGCCATGCTAACCTTCTCCGTATCGTTCCAATTTTAGTATATGTGCTGCCAAAGCGTGCACTACTTTACACGATTTTTGAATGATGGAAGCATGGCAATTATTTTATCTTGAGAAGAGAGGGGTTCTTTTTCCAAATTAAAAAAAGTGAAACATAGTACACCAAACCAAAACCTCTGTAATTCTATGGCACACAGCACAAATAAAATACACATAGGGACTTCCCTGGCGGTCCAGTGGTTAAGACTTTGCCTTCCAGTGCAGGGGGTTCGGGTTCAATCCCTGGTTGGGGAGCTAAGATCTCACATGCCTCATAGCCAAAAAAACCAAGACATAACTCAGAAGCAATATTGTAACAAATTCAATAAAGACTTAAAAAAAAAATGGTCCACATCAAAAAACAACAACAAATATAAACATATAAACATGTACAGAAGAAATAGTGTTTATACATTTAAAATTATATCTAGCTTTCTAAAATTAAGTGAAAGAGCATCTTCCAATTATTATGTAATTAAAGAGATCACACACTGCTTTTATTTTTTAATTTGGAAGAGTTTATAATTTATTCTCTGCTAATAAATTTGAAAAGAATAAAATGGATGCATTTGGGGTAAATGTCATAGATTACAAAACAGATAAAGAAAGTATACAATCATATTAAATCAATAATAATGAAAGAAAGTTAAAGTCCTTGAATAATTACTTCAAAAAAAAAGAGCCCAGAGCTTAATTTTAATGAGAAAACTTCTCAATTTTAAAGGTACAGATAATTTAATTCTTTTTTAAAACATTTATTTTATTGAAGCATAGTTGATTTACAATGCTGTGTTAACTTCTGTTGTACAGCAAAGTGAGTCAGTTATATATATTCTTTTTCATATTCTTTTCCATTACGGTATATTACAGGATATTGAATATAGTTCCCGATAATTCCATTCTTTTTTTTCTTTTGGCCATGCTACGCGGCTTGCAGGATTTTAGTTCCCTGATCAGGGATTGAACCCAGGCCATGGCAGTGAAAGCACTGAGTCCTAACCATTAGGCCACCAGGGAACTCCCAATTACATTCTTAAAAGCATAGAAAACAATTTTATAATGCTAACATGAAACTGACACAAAAACATAAAAATATACAAAAGACAGTACAAAAGAGAAAGCCATAAAACAATGTAAATATAAATATACAAGTCCTACTTGCAGATAACATTCCAGAATATATCAATAGACAACTGCCTACCATCAAGTAGGGTTTATTCCAGACACGTGATTAAAAAAAAATCTTTTGAAATAATTAGGTTAAAAAAAATTGAAATAAAAGTAGAGTGGTCCTATGTGCCTATCACCCAGCTTCCCCTCCAACAGTTACATCTTGATTATCTATTGTACATTATCAAAAACCGGGAAAAACCAGGACACTGGCACAATATAATTAACTAAACTATAGATCTCATATTCAGATTTCAACACTTTTGGATGTTCTCATTTTTTCGTATGTCTTTATGTACAGTTCTATGACATTTTGCTACGTATACAGATCCACAGTACCCCCACCATAAGATAAAGAACTGTCTGTTACCACAATGAAACTCCCCTGTGCTACTCCTTTATAGTCACCAACCCTTGCTATTCTTTCTTTATAGTAATTATGCATCATACATTTCAAATGTTCCCTCTATTGAAAAGCATAGGATAAGGCTTTCAGATCCAAGTAACAACTTACCGATTTGTCTCTTGCTATCATTTCTGAGTTGCTCATTTTCTGGTCTTGAAACCTTGTGTACTTCAGCTATAGAACACACAGAAAGTGACAGTTAACTTAGGACACATGATCAAAAACTTCTGGAAAGCTAGAAATGGAAAAACAAACAAACCCAGAACAAAACCAAAAATCTATATATCCCCACCACCATCACTACTTTGAGTCAAATTTGAAAGACTGAACATTCTATCAAGTTCAGTTTAAACTTTCTAGGATCATTTACATAGAGTAAATGTTTTTAATGAAAGTAAGTTGAATGGAAGATGTTGACCAGTCAATTAAAAAATAGTAAATAGCTAAAGTTCTACCTCGCCTGTGCTCTTGATTCTCTATTGCTTTTTGGCTGGTTGATGGTAAAGGCCTGGTTGATGATACAGGGCTCCTTCTCCCAACAGGTGCTGGAGCAGGTAAGTGGGCCGAGGCTGTCTGCACTGCTTGTTCCATGGTTGGGCTTTTTCTCAAAGGGTCTAACTGAGGGCTTGAACGACCTGAAACGTAACCAAAAGATAAGAAACTATCCCTATCCTCTGGGGGTTTCAAAATAACCTAGATCCTAAAAACAGGTCTAGAGTTTTACTTCTACCAATTCAAATCCTCAGCACAATCTGAATCCATCTACTCATTAGACCAGAGTTTAAAACTGTTTATCTTTAGTGGGCTGGTCACTTGATCAGTAAAAAAAATAAAATAAAATAAAATAAACCCCAAAACAAACAAACAAAAAAACTCTGGTACAAAATCCCCCAGGAATATTATCAAAGATAATTTAGGCAGGTCAGATGTAGGCTTTCCCCAATAACCACAACCACCAGATTACACTGAGACTTTAGCCATTATTTCTAGAGGCTTTAACTTCTTTTAAAATTTATTTTTGGCTGCGCTGGGTCTTCCTTGCTGTGTGTGGGCTTTCTCTAGTTGCGGACAGCGGGGGCTACTCTTCCTTGTGGTGCATGGTCTTCTCATTGCAGTGGCTTCTCTTGCGGCAGAGCACAGGCTCTAGGCGCGCGGGCTTCAGTAGTTGTGGCTCCGGGCTCTAGAGCGCAGGCTCTGTAGTTGTGGCGCATGGGCTTAGTTGCTCCATGGCATGTGGGATCTTCTCAGACCAGGGATTGAACCCGTGTCTCCTGCTTTGGCAGGCGGGTTCTTAACCACTGTGCCACCCGGGAAGTCCTAACTTTTTTAGTACTTTCTGAAGATATGTCTAAAGTGATACCCTTATATCTATAAGTATTATCTGCATTAAATTTCTATTATAAAGGAAGTAAAGAACTAGAAAGTCAGGTGAAGTTCTTCGATTCCTTAGAGTCTTGGGCAATTAAACATCAATACTAAAAGGCCAGCAACAAATAAACCCTTCAGATAATTACACAGTAGCCATACTCACCCTCTGCTGTTTGAATGATCACTTGGCAAATTTTTGCTTAATATGGGTTTTGTACTTACAAATTCCATTTTTTCTTCCATGAGGTCAGCCTGGTCACAGTATGAACAGAAGAATGTAACACTGGGTGCTCCCATCATGCTTTTTGTCTCTAATGTTTGCCATAAATCTCCACTCAAGATGCTCTCACATCCCATGATATTGCACCAAAATAGGTTTTGCTTTAAAAAATTGTCCTCATTTTATGTAAAAAAAATATATTCCCAAATATGCTGCAAATGTTACAGCTACCTGCACAGGCTCCAAACTGGGGAACTGGTGAGTACTGACAGCACATTGGTTGTTGTGCACCAGGTGCTTCAGGGACTGTTTAGTAGTAATACTCCCCAAATATATGGTTAACTAAAGTATGCAATTACAAATGTGTGTCACCATTTCCAGCATTAATGACAAAGTTTACTCTGCCATTAATAGAAACACTGTAATTTTCCCACTGATTATAATGGGAAATCATACTGGTTTATACAAGTTTTGGTCTAAGAGAAAACATTTTGTAATCACTTATCACCTTATAAACAGATTTATTTGTCAAACAAGTGTTAAGTTTTTGGAAAAGCCTATTGTTTAGGTAATTTTATCATAGTACATTAAATGATCTTATAAACTTACAAAACTTTACTTCATTAAGGCTTTTCTTTAAGATCCTGTGACTCACAATATTACAGAACTGCAAGTGATAGGGCAATCACAGTAAGTAATAACTCACTGCTGTTTTTTTTTTTTTAATATTTATTTATTTGGCCGCACTGGGTCTTAGTTATGGTATGCGGGATCTTTTAGTTGCAATATGTGGGATCTAGTTCCCTGACCAGGGATCAAACCTGGGCCCTCTGAATTGGGAGCACGGAGCCTTAGCCACAGGTAAGTCCCTGTATTTTGAAAACCTTTGTAATTAAAGTCTGGTACTACAGCATGATGGCAATTTTGTTATAAACAGGGAAATACAGGTGATACTGGACATATTAGGAATAAACTCAAAAGCTCTTTTATAATAAACACACCCCCTCGAGTTATCTTCACATTCTTATTCTTACAGTTACAAGAAAATTCTAGGTGTTAAAATTTTATAAACTTCAAAAATTTTAGCTGGTGATATCAAAATGCAGATTCCCAGGCCGCCTCTCCCATTGTTTTAAACATACCTCTTTCTTCTAATAAATATGTAATTAAAATTTTAAAAAACATTTTAATCTATTCAAAACTTATTTTAGCCTTAAGTATGAGGGAAGGATTCTAGAGTTACTTTTCCAAGTGATCAGGCAGTTGTCTGTTCACAACATCATTTATTGGATGGATCATTTAGTAGTCTTTCTCTACTAATTTAAAAATAATATCTTTATCATATACTAATTACTTATTTATACTTGGATCTATTTCTGACTTTTGCTCTATTCACCTCTAAATTTATTCCTGTACTGCTTTATTTTATGTATACTTTATTAAGGAGGTAAGCCCTATCTCATTACTTTTTTTTTTTTTTTTTTTGCGGTATGCGGGCCTCTCACTGTTGTGGCCTCTCCAGTTGCGGAGCATAGGCTCCAGACGTGCAGGCTCAGTGGCCATGGCTCACAGGCCTAGCCGCTCCACGGCATGTGGGATCTTCCCGGACCGGGGCATGAACCCGTGTCCCCTGCATTGGCAGGCGGACTCTCAACCACTGCGCCACCAGGGAAGCCCTCATTACTTTTATTTTTAAAACATATCTAGGTATACTTGCATGCTTATTTTTAAGATAGTCTGTGTATCTGTTTTATTAGGTTCTCTTACTATTCCATGTAGATTTATTGAAAGTACAGTAAATTTAATTATTATGAGAAATAAAGTCTTCCTAATATTAAATCTTTTTATCTAGGAATAAGATATCTTTCTTTGATTACATGTAACTTCTTTTATGTCCCTCTATTATACTTTGTATCTTTCATCATAGAGACTGGCCATATTTCTTATTATGTATTTTATATATAATTTCTATTTCTCATCATTGTGAACATCTTCTTTTATCCCCATTAATAATTAGTGGGTTAGGTTTTAGGACATCTATTTTTTTTTTTAATTTATTTAATTTTTGGCTGCATTGGGTCTTCCTGCTGTGCAAAGGCTTTCTCTAGTTGCAGTGAGCAGGGGCTATCTTTGCTGTGGTGCACAGGCTTCTCATTGTTGTGGCTTCTCTTACTGCTGAGCATGGGCTCTAGGCACATGGGCTTCAATAGTTGTAGCATGCGGGCTGAGCAGTTGTGGCTCACGGGCTCTACAGCACAGGCTCAGTAGTTGTAGCTCACGGGCTTAGCTGCTCTGCGGCAATGTGGGATCTTCCTCGACCAGGGCTCAAACCCGTGTCCCCTGCACTGGCAGGCGGATTCTTAAACCACTGAGCCACGGGGGAAGCCCTAGGACATCTACTGATTTTTATACTTATTCTCTACATTTTACCTCTATCTAATTTAAGTCTCATATTAGTTCTAGTTTTTCAGTGAATTCTCAATTCCAAGTAGGAAGTCAGCATTGGCAAATAATGCTATTCTAATATTCATACTTCTTATTTCTTTTTCATGTATTCCTGACATAGCTAAAAATTCCAGAACAATGCTGAGTAGCAATGAGAAAGGGAATCCTTAGTTATGATTTTAATAAGAATCCTTCTGGTGCTTCAATATTAAGGTTAATGTTGGTTATTAATTAAGATAGCTAACATCTACTGAGCACGTTCTATGTGTCAGGCATTATGTTAAGGACACTGATACATTAAAAAAAAATTTAACCCTTACAATAAGTCTGTTGTTTTATCAGTAAAGTCCTGTTTTATAGTATGGAACACTAAAGCTTAAAAAGATTAAATATCTTCTCTAAGAAGGAAATCTTTAAAAAAATTAACAAACCAATAACATACACACACAAATATACACTTATGTTAACCTAGATGAAAGTCTGGATGTAAATATTTGTTATTTCTGGGTGGTGAGATTATAGGTATTTTTATTTTCTTCCTATGCTTAGTGTATTTCTTTTTTAAAAAATTTATTGAAGTATAGTTGATTTACAAAGTTGTGTTAATTTCTACTGTACAGCAAAGTGATTCAGTTATACATATATATATACACATATATATTTTATATATATATACATTCTTTTTCATATTCTTTTCCATTATGGTTTATCACAGGATATTGAATATAGCTTCCCGTGCTATACAGTGCGCTTAGTGTATTTCTAATTTACCTACAAAAAATCTTTAGAATGTTAAAAAATTAAAAATTAAGTTTTTTTTAAATCAATATGAATAAAAGTAACTACAACTATTTCAAAATATCTAAAGTGAGATACACAGGATTATGTTTAGCATTGGCTTGATTTTACCCTCAAGTGCTTTAAAAAATACTGTCCTGATCATAATAGCATCTTTCTGAAATGACTTTACATTGTTTTATTTAAAAGTAAACATCCATATAAAGCAATGGGCCAGTTTCACCCACTTTAGCAGCAGATAAAGAATCCTGGGACCACTGAAGGTTATGAGACTGGTTGGTGGAAAAACAAAATTAAAAAGAAATGAAACAGGATCCTTTAAGCTTATTAAAATGCAGATCTCCAAGCTCCAGGGATTCTGATGTAGCAGTTCTCAGGATCTACATTTTTAAGAAGCATTCCAGATCAGATGATTTGATTGTGAGTGGTCCACACTGAGAGCCACTGCTCTAGATTCTATGAGGATGCTAGGAAAGATGCAACAGCATAATGAATAGTTTGTTTCCTCAGCTACTATTTCAAATTCATCAAGGATAGTTCATCCTCAGTGGTGAGTCTGAGATTGACCAGTAATATTTAAGTATTATATACAAGTAATATAATTGCTTTGTAAAAAAAAAAAAGGTCAAACTTAGACAATGTTCACCATTTCAGTTTTATGATCTAAGAATTATAAAAAGTCTGAACAGTGGAAGTCATTCAATAATGTACTTATTGAACAACAATTTAAAAATTTTTTTAAAGAACTAAGTAGAAATTATACATATGAGTTACAAGCTGCAAAAGCTCTTACATTCAGAGAAAGACTACTATCTATAGAAATTTAGAATGGAAAATTTTGAAGGAAAAAACAGCTTACCTTGAGATAACTGTGTTTTTAGAGATCTTGTATCCTGTGTAAAGGCAGAACCAACTGCACTACTTTGGGACAGGGTACCGCTGTTTGATGCTTCTGTTCCAAAGGATGTCAAGGAGCTTCCAGCTTTAAGAAAATTTTTTTGAATGACAAAAATTTTTTTTAAAAATTTTAAACCTTTCAATTATATAAAGTAACACAGCATTTTAATGATAATTGTCCCTCCCTGTAGCACCTGTGTAAATTAATAATACTGGAAATTAGTGAAACTGAATCAAAAAATAATTTGAGAAATTTTTGACAATATATAAAAAGCAAGCCCATATATACTCCAGCATCTTTGAATGCAAACAATTTTTTTAACGTATGCAATACTCTCCTGGACAGTTATACAGATGGGACAGCAAGGATGTACATCAGATAGAGAAGCAGCAGAAATGGTACATTCAATACCAACATTACGGTTCAATTATCTTAACACCAAGTATCTGCACAAATAGCCAAATCAGGAGACAGGTCTATGAAGAGCTTTTCCAGCATTTCCAAGGCAGTGGACAATGGACTCCAGTCCATTTTAATGCCTCCCCTCAGTACAGTATTGTGGGGCTGCATTCTGCCTAAAGCAACCACAAAAAGTTCTGGTAATATAAGGAACAAAATATGAGGAAAGGACCTTTGCTATACTAGGTTATGTCAATCTTCTTTTCTACATTTCTTCAGAATTTATGGATCAATCACTTTCCATATGCTGTGCTCTCTTCTTAATATTTAATATACATAGGTTTTCTCTAGCAGGAACTGTTTCAATAGCCCCTCTTCCCCCACCTCTAAATCCAATATGAAAGTGGTACTGAGAATAATCTTTTATGAAACAAAAATAATCACATCACTACAGTGCTTAGGACTCTCTGATGGCTTTCCACTGCCCTCAAGAAAAAAGTTCAAACTATTTACCTTAGTTTATAAGGTCCTCCCCCTTATCTGCCTACCTCTTTTCTCATTACTCATTTACACCACTTTGTTCCACAACAGAAGTTTAACTACCTGCTTTTAAATTACTTGAAGATTATGATCATGTTCCTCACATCTTCTAATTTCCAAGCTAAGCAACTCTAGTTCCTTCAACAATTCTCATCTTCACATGCTCTTTAAGCCTTGCCTGTTTTGACTTCTCCTAATTTAATGAATTCTAGTTGTTCATATCTCTCTTAAAACGGGGCATCAGAACTCAGCAAAGTACCTCAGACAATAAGAATGAATGGGACTCCTTTAGAGGTGTAATCCATTCAGGCTGCAGTCCCAGCCAGCTAAGGAGAGGCCTAATATAACCTCCCACAACATCCCCAGAAATGTTGAGACTACTGCTCTCAATAATTCTGTGGGATGCTGAATCTATCCCATTATCCCTAGTATTTCTGGGTAACGACCAAGACATAAACCACTCTGATGATGCGTATTCAACCTCCATCCTGCTCTGACTCAATCTCCCACTGCTTGCGCCTGCCTCCCCACCGCCACCCAACCCCATGAGCAAACTCTTCTATATCCTCCGTCTCTTTTCTGACTTCCCAGTCATACTACACCCACCTCCCTTGTGCCATTGCTGCTATTGATTTATCTCAAATTATTTTTCATGTAGAGTGTGAGGCAGGGGTCACTGTTAATTTTTTCCAAATAGATATCTAGCTGCTGCAAGATCATTTGTTAAAAAGATTTCCCCTTCTATCCACAGGAAAATAAAAGTGAAATTTATAATCATCATTCACAAAAAAAACAAAACAATAAAGATTTCCCCTTCTCCATTGAACTGCACTGGCATCTTTGTCTTAAATCAGCATTTAAGTAGGTCTATTTCTGTACTCTCTATTCTTTACCCTGGTATATCTGTGTATTCTTATATCAATAATTCCCTGTTTTGAATCTTGAAATTGGGTGTATACCTCAAACTTCCTCTTTCTTCAAGAGTAGTTTGGCTATTATAGATTTTGTATTTCCATACAAATATTAGAATCAGCATGTCAATTTCTATTTTTAAAGTGTGATGGGATTTTGATCAGGATTGTGTTCAACCTGTAAACCAATTCTGGGGAAAGTGTCATCATAAAAATAATATTGAATATTCTAACCCATAAGCATGGATTAACTCTCCATTTATTTAGATCTCTAAATTCTCTCAGCAGTGTTCTGTGATTTTTATTGTAGAGCAGAGTTTTCTCAACTTCAGCACTACTGACGTGTTGGGCCAGATAATTTTTTGTTGAGAGGGGTTGTCCCATGCATTGTAGGATGTTAAGTAGCATCCCTGGCCTCTACCCATTAGATGCTAGTAGTATCACCCAGTTGTGACAAACAAAAATGTCTCCAGGCATTACCAAATGTCCCCTGAGGGAGGGGGGTAAAATGAACTCCCCTCCACTGAGAACCACATAGAGATTTTCAAATACTATCTTTTGTTACATTCATTCCTGGGTATCTGATGTTATTGGTGCTATTGTAAGCTGTGTTGCACTTTATATTTCATTTACCAATAATTTGTTCTAGATCTGCAACTTTATCTATAAGTAGCCAGATGGTAAATAAAATATTCTAGGCTTTTCAGGCCATATGCTCTCTGTTATAACTATACAACTCTGCCCTTGTAGTGTAAAAGTAGCCACAGACCACATGTAAATAAATGGGTATGGCTGTATTCCAGTAAAACAGGAGGCTGGTGGGATTTGGTCCACAGGCCATAGTTTGCCAAACTGTCTGTTCTGAATACAAAAATACAGTTGATTTTTGTATATTTACCATGTATTCCCTTACCATGCTAAATTCACTTATTCATTCCAGTAGCTTGAATATTCCTTTGCATTTTCTACATACACAATCATGTCACCTTCAAATAATGACATTTTTAGCTCTGCCTTTCCAATCTCTAAATCTTTTATTTATTTATTTATTTTCTTGCCTCACTGGACTGACTAGGACCTCTAGAACAACACTACATGAAATAAGACAATTCTTTTGCTTTATTCCTTACCTCAAGGGAAAAGCATTCATTATCCCACCATTATGTGTGTAAGCTTTTCATTTCACTGTTCAGATTAGGAAACTCCCTCCTATTCCTTAGTTGTTGATAATGGGTATTGAATTTTACCAAATGCCTGTTCTGTATCTCTTGGGATTGCAGTTTTTCACCTTTATTCTGTTAATGTGGTAAATTACTAATGATTTTCAAATGTTAAAACATCTTTGCATTCCTGAGATGTCATTATGTAATATCCTTTTTATGAACTGCTAGCTTCCACTGCTAATACTATGTTAAGGATTTTTACATATATGTTCAGGGAAATTAGCTGTAATTTTATTTTCTTGTATTGATTTCATTTAGATACCATTTAGGTTTTGGTATCTCAGCTTCCCTTTGTTATCTGGTTAGGAAGTGTTCTTCTTTTCTTCTCTCAAAGAGTTTGTGTAAGATTGGTAAAATTATTTCTTCCCTAAATGGTAGAATTTATCAGTAAAGCAAATAGTCTAGAATTTTCTTTACAGAAGATTTTAAATTAGTTTCAACTTCTTTAACAGGGTGATACTGAGACTGTACTTCCTCCTGTGTTGGTTTAGGAAAGTTGTATTTTCAAGGAACTTGTCTATTTCATCTGAGATGTCAAATCTGTTGACATAAAGTTGTTCACAATATCTTCATATTATCCTTTTAGGATCTATAGTGATGCCTACACTTTCATTTTTTTTTTTGATTTTTTTTTAATTAATTAATTTATTTTTGGCTGTATTGGGTCTTCGTTTCCGTGCCAGGGCTTTCTCTAGTTGCAGCGAGCGGGGGCCACTTTTCATCACGGTGCGTGGGCTTCTCTTGTTGCGGAGCACAGGCTCCAAACGTGCAGGCTCAGCAGTTGTGGCTCACGGGCCTAGTTGCTCCGCGGCATGTGGGATCTTCCCAGACCAGGGCTCGAACCCGTGTCCCCTACGTTGGCAGGCAGATTCTCAACTACTGTGCCACCAGGGAAGCCCTACACTTTCATTCTTGATATCAGTATTTGAGTCTTCTTTTTTTCCTTGTTTAGTCTTGCTAGGGGCTCATTAATTTTATGAAATTTTTCCAAGAACCAGCTCCTGGCTTTGATGATATTATATATATATTTTTGACTTGTTTCTATTTCCTTGATTTCTGCTTTAAATTTTTTCTTCCTTCTAGTACTTTTGGGCTAATTTTCTTTCCTTTTTTTTAGCTTCTTAATAAGCTGGCAGCTTAGAGCACTGATTTTAAAATATTCTTGTTTTGGGGGCTTCCCTGGTGGTACAGTGGTTGAGAGTCCACCTGTCGATGCAGGGGACATGGGTTCGTGCCCCGGTCCGGGAAGATCCCACATGCTGCAGAGCGGCTGGGCCCGTGAGCCATGGCCGCTGAGCCTGTGCGTCCGGAGCCTGTGCTCCGCAACGGGAGAGGCCACAACAGTGAGAGGCCTGCGTACCGCAAAAAAAAAAAAAAAAAAAAAAAAAAAAAAAAAAAAATCTTGTTTTCTTATATATGTATTTAAAGGTATGAAATTTCCCCTAAGCAATGCTTAAGCTCCACTCACAAATTTTGATATGTTGTACTTTATGATCATTATATTTAAAAATATCTTATTTCTCCTATGATTTCTTCTTTAATTCATTAGTGATTTTTGTAAGTTTGCTCAATTTCTGTATTGAGCAAACAGAAATATACTATTTGTATATTTTTCAAGTTATCTTTATTAATTCCAAATTTAATTTCTTTGTGGTTTGAGAAGATACCACGTATGATTTCAATCCTTCTGAATTTAATGTAACTCATTTTATGGACCAGGATTTGATCTATCCCATTGATTGATCAATATTTACTTAAAAGAATCTACTTTCTGCAATTGTTGGTGTTAGTGTACTATTTTATAAAAGTTACATACACATCGAGGATTGTTACAGCTTCCTGACGTACTGTTATGAAGAATCCTTCTTTATCTTTGGCAGTACTCCTGATCTTTAAGCTGCTTTGTCTGATGTTAATTTTCCTAACATAGTTTTCTTGTTATCAGTGTTCGTATGGTATGTCATGCCTTTTTCTGTTCTTTAACTTTGTCTTTTAATTCATCTCTTATAAACATCACATAGCAGGGTCTTTTTTAAAAAAATTCAGTTTGATGATCTCTGCTTTTTAACTGGAATGTTTAATTCCTTTATACATTACCAAAGTAGATATATTTATTTAGGCTATACCACGTGGCATGAGGGATTAGTTCCCTGACCAGGGATCAAACCTGTGCCCTCTGCAGTGGAGGCAGGGAGTCCTGACCAATGGACTGCCAGGGAATTGCCCCTAAGCAGATCTTTAACAATCCTTTGTCATCCTTAATGCATGAAACACCCTCCTGGTTTATGCTAACTTTATTTATTTATTAATTTTATTTTTGGCTGTGTCAGGTCTCAGGTGCAACACATGGGATCTTCGTTGCAGCATGTGGGATCCTCTGCTGCAGCGTGGGCTCCTTGTTGCAGCGCGTGGGCTCCAGAGCATGTGGGCTCTGTAGTTGTGGCATGCGGGCTCTCTTGCTGTGGCCCGTGTGCTCAGTAGTTGCAGTGTGTGGGCTTAGTTGTCCTGCGGCATGTGAGATCTTAGGTCCCCGACCAGGGATCGAACCCGTATCCCCTGCATTGGAAGGCAGATTCTTAACCACTAGACAACCAGGGAAGTCCCTATGCTAACTTTAAAGTTCATAAGCATGTTAAGTATTCATTAAACTCAGTGATTAAAAATTAACGTGTACAAAACACTAGAGACCTAAGAGAATCACTGTCCAATATGGTTCTGCTATTTAAGCAGCTAAAATGTACCCACTGGCTGAACCCATGTTCAGCCAATATGCCTCCATCTTGCCCACAAGAGTAGTATGAGACTTAGCATGTCATGGTTATTTTGATGCTTCAGTTTACTGTGAGATAATTAATTTTTCCTAATTAACATCAGTAATGACCTAATCTTTGCACATAAAAATTATTTGTGCATCAACTTAAAAAAAACAAAGTATGAGAGTATCTCTTTCTTCACAATCTTGCCAAAACAGAATATATTCAAACTTTTGGGTTTTTGTCAAATTGATAGTGAGAAATGGTGTCTTGGTGATGACTTAAGCTGTATATCTCTTATCATGAGCAAGATTTAAGCATCTTTCCATGTTTAAGCGCCATTTGTATTTATTTTTTTCTGAAAAAGGCAAAGTCAGTTTCTAATCTTTACAAATTTTTCTGTTGGATTGTAGAGCTTTATTTTTAGAAGCTCTTTAGATATTCAGGATATTAACCCTTCATGATATAAATTGCAAATAAAACTATGAAAATTAAAATAGAAAAAATTCCTCCCAAACAGCAATAGTGTAATCTTGATTTATTTAAACTTTCTCTTTACATCAGAATATTAGGCACAGAAAATGAAAACAAGAGGCTTAAATTAAAATCTGGCTTAATTTTACCAACACAAACTATATCTAAGTTAATTCCGTTTCTAAAAAACATCTGCCACCTTAATCAATGCTACAGTTTTCCTCCTCCTCGTTTAACTACTTCTAAATACTATATATAGTTCTCTAATTAGCCACTCCAAAAATTGTTCTGCCAGTATGAAAATCAAACAATCAAAAATAATCTGTCAGGGCTTCCCTGGTGGCACAGTGGTTGAGCGTCTGCCTGCCGATGCAGGGGACGCGGGTTCGTGCCCCGGTCCGGGAGGATCCCACGTGCCGCGGAGCGGCTGGGCCCGTGAGCCATGGCCGCTGAGCCTGCGCGTCCGGAGCCTGTGCTCCGCGACGGGAGAGGCCACAACAGTGAGAGGCCCGCGTACCGCAAAAAAACAAACGAAAAAAATCTGTCACTGCAAAAATTAAGTCTACCCACATGGAAAGCACAAGCAAAACCTTCTACCTTTTTGACACCCAAAGAACACTAAACCAGCAACCTCCAATATCAAAATTAGATAAAAGCATTTATAAGGAATATATATTTCACCACCACAAAATACTTTGATTAGAGGAGCAGGATGTGAAGAATAGCAGAAGCAGTATTTATTATGTAGATACTTCGTGCTTGATGCTGTTCAAATGCTTTATACATATTAAGTTATGCAAACTTCACAGTAATGTAGAAGGCAAGTACAATAATCCAAATGTTAGCTAACTATTCAACTTAGTGAAAGGAGTCTCAAAAGGATAATATAATTTGCAACTGTCCCTTATCTGAATCCTCAGAATAGGATTCTAACAGTTATAACTAACGTAGAGTATATCTTGATTAACATGTATAAGCAACATTGATCTTCACTTGACTAGGATTAGAAGGTACGTGGACCAAAGCTACCCTATTTCACCAATCCAACAATAAATCTGAAAGTAATTAAATATTTAAATTTTGATTAGGGATGAATGTCTGGGTTACAACCCACCCCCCAACAAAAATAAATAAATTTGAAAAATGTCAAACCTGTGTCAAAATTGAAAGAGGAGTACACTGAATATCAATATATTCCTCCATCTAGCTCACCAACTACTAACATCTTGCCACGCCTATTCCGTTTCTTCATGTTGTGATATACACAATTCTCTTTTTCCTATATAGACTACAATCAGTTTGCCTCTTCACCCTTAAATACTTCAAAATTATCTCCCCAAAACAGACATTCTCTTATATGGTTAACCACAATACCATTACCACATCTAAGAAAATAAACAATAACACCATCCAACATTTAGTCCTTACTCAAAGTTCCTCAGTAGTCCTAAAACATTCTTTATTATCAACTTCTCCTAAAACTTGCGATCCAATCACATATTATATTTGGATGCTATGTCTCTTCAGTCTTCCCAAGTCTAAAACAGTCCCAGGACTTCCCTGGTGGCGCAGAGGTTAAGAATCCGCCTGCCAACACAGGGAATATGGGTTCGAGCCCTGGTCCGGGAAGATCCCACATACCACGGAGCAACTAAGCCCGTGCGCCACAACTACTGAGCCTGCGCTCTAAAGCCCACTTGCCTAGAGCCCGTGCTCCTCAACAAGAGAAGCTACCACAATGAGAAGCCCGCGCAACACAACGGAAGAGTAGCCCCCGCTCGCCGCAACTAAAGAAAGCCCATGCACAGCAACAAAGACCCAACACAGCCAAGAATAAATAATAAATTAATTAATTAAAATAAAATAAAATAAAGATCGAATGCAATTAAAAAAAAACCAGTCCCGCTGCCTCTGTTCTTTACAACATTGAATCCTTTGAAGAGCCTGGCATTCTGAATATATATCTCAATTTCTTCATGATTAGAGTCTGCATTTTCAGCAAGAATACCACAGAAGTGAAGTTGTTTACCCCCCTTCCCCCATATCATCACATCAGCAGACATATAATCATTAATTATGGCAATGCCAAACTTGACGACTTAATTAAGATGGTGACCATCAGATCTCTCCATTATAAAGGCACATTTTCTCCCTTTGGAATTAATAAGTAAACTGTGGGATGATACTTTTAAGATCATTTAAATATCCTGTTCCAACACCATTCACCCAATGATTTTAGCATCCACTGATAATCCTTGTTAATTATTTCACTAGAGATTACAAAATGGTGATTTTCTATGTCCACCACTCTTTCTATTTATTAGCTAGTGTTATTCTAAAAGCATTGTTTCCTCTTTTTCCTCTTCTTTTTAAAAGGGGCCTAGATCCCTTTTAGTGGGGAGAGGTATTTAGAAAGCAAGAACTGGGTTTATACACGTTCTTTGCTACTGGTTATCACTGCTTCCAGGCCCTTTCTATGAACAGAGTCAGGAAACAACCAGTTTTTAAAAAATGAGTTCACACCTATACCTCCAATTCACATTCACCACCATAGCGTTCTTCTTTACCTTTCCCCATTCCATATTTATATCTCCCTTCTCCAAGGTAAGAATACCATTTCTCAACAACATCAATATATTACTCATTTGCCCTATCCTATAATACATACAAAATAGTTTCAAAATTAACACCACCAATACCACTACCAATAATAAACCCTAAGTCAAGTTTTTTTTAATAGTTGTATTTATTCCTACAATATATCTTACTAAGAGTGTAAAAATTTACTTGAATTCTTATTTCTGTGTGGTTATGTTATCTGATATAGTTGTTTCTGTTTGTATTCATTCAATTTTTGGATTTACTTTTTTCCCATTGTTTTTTATTTTGTGAATAAGTAAAACATTTACATACTTGGAAAGTCACAACTATATAAAAAATATTCATAGAAAGGAATTAATTTTAACAAAACCTGTTAACATACTAATGAGTTTCAAGATAAACCTGAAACTGGATTTGTGATCAGTGAAATAAACTGATAAGTGATTATTTCAATGGAATTAAAAAAGATTAAGGGCTAGAGTTTGAGATTTAAAACTCTTCTTTATTGTGGAAATTTCAATAAAGGTGTACTTAAGAGCTAAAATGCACAACTATAAAAATAAACACAAAAAAATCTGATCTGATTATACCTAGCTTTTGTACATGATAACCTTTGTCCTCCAATCATAAACAGGACTGTTACTAGCCTAGCCCTCCTATACTTTCTCCTTATAGTGTTATATATTGATATTGCTCCCTAATAATGGCATTATCTCTACTTCCCTTTTTGAAAACCCACAATGTTGGAAAAAATGCTTATTTTAAATGGATATATCTTATGTAAATTTAAAATAACATTCAATAAAATTTGGTAATTGGATATATCTAGATTTTTTTTTAATGTTAGCATGCTAAGAGATGGCCTTTATAGAACCACTAATCATTAAGGACATTAAAATAAAGTCTTTAAAATAATAGGCTACAAAAGGAACACCAAACAATATGTCTGAAAATTTGTGGTTTTATATATCTTTGTGGTAAAGACAGGGAAATATACAAAAAAGAAAGAAAAAAAAAGGAAAAAAGCACAACATACCAACACCAACAGCCCCAAACTGCTGCCCGACTAATGAACTTGGACTGAATTGACTGTATGTTGGCATCCTGCCGAAAGGTCCATAGGAGCCCACTGACTGGAATGAAGAAGTAGATGAACCTAGTGAAGACTGAAGAAGAGATCATGGGTTAATTTTCCAGGCTCTAAGCAATATGTACATAATGGAAAGAAATTCAGATATTTACATTTTAAAGAAAACTATTAAATTACAACTACTAGACACAAAAGCAATTATAACAACTTGCAACATGCATTTAATGTTAAAACAGCTGAATAACCTGATTGCAGAATTTATATACATGTGTCAATTGTACGCAATGTGATTTATAAATGCTTTTTTCTACAATGAACTCCTCCTCTGAGTTCAGTTTTACAACAGATTTAGGAAAGAACCGAAGAAAAGTTACCCGAATAAGTAAACTAACTTTGCTTAAAGAAAAAATATGAGAAAAATCAAATTTCGTTATAGTACTAAGTTTCAGTCTGGTGGTGACATAAGTAAGACATCTCACTTTTGATTTTACTCTTATTTTCAATCACTTGAGGTATACTATTAAATTTATGGGAAAGAAATGCAGAAACAAACTATCCTGTACAAAACCACTTACTACTTACACTTTTAAATAGTTATTATTACGTTAAAGAGCACTTTATAAAAAGCTTCTTACTAAACCTAAAATACATATATATAAATATATTAATATGTATATATATACATTAATTTATCTTAACATAAAATGTTTGATAATATAAATATGAAGTGTACTAACAGCCACCAGAATACAAGTTCACTGATGGCAGAACCCTGTCTGTATGTTTGCTGCTAGTATCAGACACATGGCAGGTATTCAATAAATACTACTGAACAAATGAATCAAAAGATCAAAAGCCAAAATTTACAGTGGTTGGAAGAAGTTTTTAAAAATCATTTTGAATTGTGCTCTCTAGGTTATTGTCATTCCATAAAACTGACTGATGAAATAAATTGTTCTCTGGAGAGTTATCAAAAGATATGAGAGTCCAATAACATCGCTCTTCGGTGTAGGCAGCTATTTCTATGAGAATGTGTCTCCTCTCCCTCCATTTAAGAAGTTCGCACTTTCTCAGGATTCTTTCAGACTTAATTCCTCAAAAGTAAGACTTAAAAAGCAGGGGATAGGTAAGAGTAGAGAATTTCTCCAGTTTATGTTGCAAGAACCAAATTTTTTATTTCTTAAAAAGCTTATCTTATACTCAGAAAAATAGTAAGTAAATGTTAAAAGGTACTTTCTCTTTTTTTCCCCATTTTAATTTTATATAGTACTTAATATTTTCTTTAGAAGAGTTCATTAGGTATTTCCTTTTAACAGCTGGAAGGCACATTCTATGCAAGATAATATATATTTTAATAGTCAGTTTTGTGAAAACCTAAGATTTTTATCACTCACAGCATAAAAAAGAGGAAGTTAAAAAAACCCAACAAGCATATTTTACTGCAAATGACCAAAGACTTTTGACAAGAAAAAAACTTGAGAAGAAAATGGATTCAGCAGAAAAACCATATGGGGGCCACAAAGTTTTTAATCATCTATGCCAGGAACTAAAAACACTCATGTTAACCTGCTTCCTCTGCTGCTATAGTAGAAATTCAGATCTTCTATGTACTTCCAATTAACATATAAACAGGTACTATAATGAACATCTTCTTTAATTCATAATTTACAATCTTTTAGACATCATGTGTTTCTGTTTTAAATAAAATATACAAATTTTATAATTCCTCGGGCTTCCCTGGTGGCACAGTCGTTAAGAATCCGCCTGCCAATGCAGGGGACATGGGTTCAATCCCTGGTCCGGGAAGATCCCACATGCCATGGAGCAACTAAGCTCATGCGCCACAACTACTAAAGCCTGTGCACCTACAGCCCGTGCTCTGCAACAAGAGAAGCCACAACAATGAGAAGCCCGTGCACCGTAACGAAGAGTAGCCCCCGCTCGCCGCAACTAGAGAAAGCCTGCGTGCCACAACTAGAGAAAGCCCGCGCACAGCAACGAAGACCCAACACAGACAAGAATAAAACCAAATAAATAAATTAACTCATTAAAAAAAACCTTCTCTTAATGAGAATACTTAGGATCGTCTTCTTTAATACTTCATTTGGGAATTGAACAACGTATCTGTACGTGTTAAAATCCTTTTATATTTTTGCATTGCATGTATACTATGTAACAAACATATCATGTATAATGTGATTTAGCATTTTTTTCATTAAACTTAGTCATCTTACCTAAGAGTAGCCATCACCACCCTGGTTTGTAATATGATCCACATGTGAATAGTATAGTGGCATGGATCCTGGATTCTAGAGCCAGAATTCCTGGGTCTGTTCAAATTATGGGTCTACTTCAATTTCCTCACTTATAAAAATGAGGATTATAAAAATGAGAATAACTATAGTACCAAGCTGAGAGGGTGTTGTGAGGATTGTCCTATTATATGTGCAGTGCTTTGAATAGTGCTTCTTATAAAGTCAGATCTCAATAAATGTTAGCTATTTTAACCATTGTTGAAATCAGAAAGTACCTTATGATAAAAATTAATTCCTCAGCTATTTCTTAATCTATTTAGTCCCAACTTATTATCTAAAGAGAAAAACCTGGGTGAGAACATTATCCAGTTATTTTGGGTAACCAGGTAACTAGAAAACGGTAATAAGCTTATATGAACATTTAATCGAGAAAATTTAAAAAACAAAAACAAGGAGAGGCAAAATCCAAGGCTAGTTATGTGCATGAAATTTACTTGAACTCCAAGACAAATTTACTATGTTACCTGAACGATAGCTGGGTCCTGAGGCAAAGAACATTGTGGTTTTGGTGGCTCACAAACAGTGAGGTCTTTAATATCACTCCCACGGAATATAATGTATTCAAAGACTTCATCTCGAGGTGGTATTGGACGATCTGTTGGTCTGTCTTCTGTACCAAAGGACCGAACTGGTGAGAAAACAGAGGATATGAGATACATGTCTACTCACTGTATTCAGCTAGTGCCTCTTACAATGCACTGTTTCAAGTACTAAAGAGCAGTTCTTAAATGCCATCCATAAGAAAGTATTCATTAATTTGTAGCTAAGTAAATTTTTTTTCTTAAGTGGAAAACAGAGTGGGTTTTGCATAGAGCTAAATGTGTTCAATTTAAAAGACTATTGGCGGGGCAGCGGAGCTTCCCTGGTGGTGCAGTGGTTAAGAATCCGCCTGCCAATGCAAGGGACACGGGTTTGAGCCCTGGTCCGGGAAGATCCCACATGCTGCAGAGCAACTAAGTCCGTGCGCCATAACTACTGAGCCTGCGCTCTAGAGCCTGCGAGTCACAACTACTGAGCCCACATGCCACAACTACTGAAGCCTGCACGTCTAGAGCCCATGCTCCACAAGAGAAGCCACTGCAATGAAAAGCCTGCGCACCGCAACAAAGAGTAGCCCCCGCTCGCCGCAACTAGAAAGTCTGCACAGAGCAATGAAGACCTAATGCGGCCAAAAACAAATAAATAAAATAAATAAATTTATATATTAAAAAAAAAAAGAATCTGCCTGCCAATGCAGGGGACACGGGTTCGAGCCCTGGTCCGGGAAGATCCCACATGCTGCTCAGCAACTAAGCCCGTGCACCACAACTACCGAGCCTGTGCTCTACAGCCCGTGAGCCACAACTACTGAAGCCCACGTGCCTAGAGCCTGTGCTCCACAAGAGAAGCCACCGCAATGAGAAGCCCACGCACGGCAACGAAGAGTAGCCCCCGCTCACTGCAACTAGAGGGAGCCCGCGCGCAGCGACAAAGACCCAACACAGCAAAAAAAAAAAAAAAGTTATCTTTAAAAAAACAAACAAGACTATCGGTATTATGAGGTTGTGTTCTTCCTACATTTTTATTTACTTCTATCTTTGGTGGTTGTGATAAGAGGAGGTGTTAAAAATGTCCTTCATTGTTATTTATTTTTAATGCCCTCATTCAGCAAAATAAAAAACTGGCAGCATTTCGTGTGTGTGTGTGTGTGTGTGTGTGTGTGTGTGTGTGTGTAGTAAGTGAAAATGTGAAGATTTCCCCAATCTACAAAAATCCCAAAGTTTTGGAAACTGAGCTTTGGGTTTAAGAGAAGAAAATGCAAAGAATATCCATCTTGGTGAATAGTACGTCCTCTAGAAGCCAAGGAAAGCAGCTGTCAAACTATTCAGCTCCATGGGATAGCCTGAAATGCCCTAGTTACCTAAAATATCTATCTCATAATTAAATCTGATTATTTTAACACTTAAGATAGCATTACTCAAAGGTGAACTGTGGACCACCTGCATCAGGGTAAGCTAGAAAGATTCTCAAATCCACTGACTCAAATCTTCTGGGAAGAGGGTATAGAAATCTGCATTTTAAACCAATTCCTCAAGAGTTTCTTATGAATACTAAAGTTTCAGGTTCACTATCTTAGGAGACTTCTGATGTTGATATCCCTATAGAAACTCCAAATAAGAAAGTTTTCAATATCAGATATTATTCATTTAAAGAGTGTCCTAGAGGAAGTAAACACCTTAACATTGTGCAAAGTTTTGAATGTATGCATTTTTCTGCAGAATTGATCCATAGCTAGATAGAAAATAAAGATTTCAGTTTAAATAATGCCTTTTTTTAAATCCTAAAAATTCTTTCTAGTACTTATGAGACTTCCAGGAAAGATGATGGCATGGTTGTAGGTTTGCAGAAAATGTCTCCCTAAAAACTAAAGAAAATTAAAAAGTTTAAATATCCTTAAACCAGGAAAATACCTCAAACCTATACCATAAAGCTTTATTAAAAACTATCATTCAGATACTGAATAAGTTAGTACAAACCAGAAGACCAAGTCCAGAATCCACATGTAGCATGCTGAGAAATTTTCCCAGGCACCCTCCAACCTGGTGGACGGGGACACAGATGTGATAAAGGAAAAGATGTAGGACGTCCTAGCTGAAGCATCCCTTCCTCTGGTGGCCGAACAATACTTTATCAGGGCGGGAGCAAGTGACAAGGTCCTACATCTTGTCCTTTAACCAAAAGGAAGGCCAAAAAGAATTAGAAAAAGCAAGACTAATAAAATTACAAGTAGGCCAATCTCACTCCTAAACTTAGCACCACCACCATCGCCACCATACAATGCTTTATAAAGTCCCAGACCTCCAAAGTAACAGATTAGCCCATCCTGAAGCTGCAGGCAGGTGGGGTGGGGTTAAAGGTCTTCCATCTATTTACAAAACCAAAGAGAAGCTCTACTAGGCTTTCTAAGGCATAACAAAACCATTCAAACTATACCCATGTAGTCAAAAGAAAGATGAAAAATCCATTCAGGATTAATATTTATCACAGGAAACAGAAGAAAATTTCAGAAAGAACTGCTTTACATTCTCAAGAAAAATAAAACTCTTATGATCAAAATGATACTGAAAAGAAAAGGTAGCATAGTTAAGGAAAGAAAAAATAGACAAGGCAAATATAACAGCAGAACTAATAAAACATATCAACAATAAGCAGAACAGTCTCTGAGAAAGACAACAGAACAAATAAGAGAAAATATAACTAAAGATATAACAAGCATCCTGACATAAAGACCTAAATTTGATCCGGTTTCACTGTACTTCCAGGAAAAAAAAAATTAGTGCACTATAAGCCATACAGACTTATCCTTTGCTACATCAAAATAAAGAACTCACAGAAACAGTGCCATCAAAAAATAAGAGATGGACAACAAATCCATTTAAGCACATAAATATATGTGACAATTTACTAAGGCGCTAGAATAGAATGTAAATTTAATAGTTCTGAAAAAGACTACAAAGGTACAAAGTGTTGCAAAAATTAGGATGGTACCTATTTCACACAGTATTCTAACAAAAATTGGGAGATGAAAATGACAAGAAGCAGAGGAAACACAAAAGGAAATTTATAAATTAATACTCATCTTTTATAGTAGGAGTCACCTCATAAAATTTGGGGGGAAGTTGATAAATTAACATATGTAGGCTTAAAAATTTGTTATTTGCAGTCCTAAAGGTAACCAACAATAGAGTTGAAAACTAAAGGCATACTTTCCAAAATATGGTATGAAGAAAACCGTTACCGGGCTTCCCTGGTGGTGCAGTGGTTAAGAATCTGCCGCCAATGCAGGGGACACGGGTTCGAGCCCTGGTCCAGGAAGATCCCACATGCCGCAGAACAACTAAACCCATGCGCCACAACTACTGAGCCTGAGCTCTAGAGCCCGCAAGCCACAACTACTGAGCCCTCGTGCCACAACAACTGCAGCCCGCGTGCCTAGAGTCCGTGCTCCTCAACAAGAGAATCCACTGCTATGAGAAGCCCACGCACCGCAATGAAGAGTAGCCCTCGCTCACTGCAACTAGAGAAAGCCAGCGCAGCAACAAAGATCAATGCAGCCAAAAATAAATAAATAAAAATAAAAGTTCCCTTAAAAAAAAAAGCTACCATACAGCAAAAGAGGGAAAATGAAAAAGTATGAAAACAGAGACCATGAGTTTGAGAAACAGGCTCTAATGATGGAAACCGATTTGATCAGATTTAATGTTTTCAACAGACAGTTCTTGTAGCATTATAAAGAATAAGTTAATTAGAAGAGCAATCAGAAGGGAACACATGTCTGGAAGATAACAGAACAAATGAGAGGTGGTGAAGGTTGAAACCTGGACATTGAGAGTAGAAAGAGAGAAGGCCGGACAAACACAGAAAAGGTAGAAAATTACTAGTACTATTCTGCTACAAAACATTTCAATACATGAATTAGCTCATGTGCAACTGGTTAGTAAGGGAATTATGTCAGTACAGTCAAAAATCACATTGTTTCATCCCTAAGTTTTTTAACCTGTTATTTTTATTTATTTATTGCACTTTAGGGGGCAGCAGCTAAACACAGAAAGCCACAGAGTAACAGTATATGATGCCCAATCACCCCAAGTTTCCTCTTGGCTCAATTTGGCTATGTAATCAGTCTTATAAGTGCTTATTGCATGGTTCTCCCTGATCCTGATGCACTCTTTCATTGTCTCCAACAGCAGATTCAACTCTTTTTTATACTTTCTTCCATCAGGCTACCTTACATTTTTTTCTTTCAAGCTGGTAGACGACTTCATTGTTAGGTATACTTCACCAGCATTTTTGTTAACACTATCATTTCCATTCATTTTCTTTTTCTTCTTTTCTTTTTTTTTTGGCCACACCACTTGGCTTGCAGGATCTTAGGTCCCGGACCAGGGATTGAACCTGGGCCCCAGCAGTGAAAGCGCCAAGTCCTACCTAACCACTGGACTGCCAGGGAATTCCCTATTTTTCTTAATTGTGGTAAGAATACATAACATGAGATCTACCCTCTTAACAAAATTTTAAGTGTACATCACAGTATTGTTAATTATAAACAGAGCTCTACAACTTTACCACCTTGCTTAACAGAAACTTTATACCCATTGAACCACAGTGTATCATTTCCTCCTACCCGTAGCCCCTGGCAACCACTATCCTCCAGTATATTTTCTTCTGTGACTTGGAAAATAAAATCAAAAAGGAAGCAGAGGGCCAGTTTGGAAATTACTGGGCAAGTGCTGGTGAAAAAGTACCTAAAGAAGGAGGTCAAAACATAACATTATTTATGAAATGTAATTTCTTACTTAGAGTTCTACAACTCTGTCCACTTTTTTTCAAAATAGACTGCTATATTATTTGTTACATCAAATAATATATTTGATATACAATAATATATTGTATATTAGGTAAATATACAGTAACATTAAACATTCTATGTATGAGGCAGATTATAAAACTATTATTTTCAAAAGATTACAACTATCTGAAATTAAAACATATATGTGAGTGACATCATGGAAGATGGTAGAGTAGGAAGATCCAGGAATTGGTCCCTCCACCCAAACAACTATTGGGCTGGCAAACAGTCTGAATTAA